TCCTGGTTGATCATTCATTCTTTTTTATTATTATTTATTAGTTCTAATCAGTGATGCATGACAGTAGAAAGCTCTTCAATTCATTGTATACAAATGGAACAGAATTTTTCACTTCTCTGGTTGTGCATGAAGTAGAGTCACACCATTTGTGCAATCATACATGTACCTAGGGTAATGATGTCCATCTCATTCCACTGTCTTTTCTATCCCTTTTGCCCCATTCAAAATTCCTCCATTTTTCCCATGCACCGCACCCCCACCCCCGCCCATGGATTAGCATCCACTTGTTAGTGATCATTCATTCTTACTAAAGAAAGGCTGAGGATGAGTGTGTGGGTTTTCTTGGCTGCTGTGTTTGCAGGTCAGGTTTCCAAGGAGCTCTCTGCACTATGTCTGGGGTTGGGTCTCTGTTGGCTGTCAAATTCTACTACAGCATGAGCTGATGGGAAACCAGGTAGATGTCAGGCAGTGACTTTCAAAATATTATAATATAAAGGGACGTGGGCCAGAATATCAAATCCACAAGTCTTTGTTATCCTCAGAAGGTTCATTTAATATGAAGTCTCTGTTTTTGCTTGTTTTTCCTGGATGCTGGACTTTTAGGAGTATAGGAGTATAGAAGTATAGGAGAAGTATAGAGGTGGTGATTTACTCTGCAGGTCTATTTGTAAACTCTCAATTGATCTTCCTGCTTTTGGCTACATTTCTCACTGTCAACTCTGTGTGCTGCATTTTTCATGATTTTTAACAGGCAATTCATGCCTCCCCCTCTCTATGGTCCTGTAGGATGTATTCATCATTCAGTGAACTTCCATAGGTATTGTTGAACTCTTGTGATTTGTGAGCAGATTCACCCTCCATAACCTTAGCTAGTGTGATGATTATTCTTTTTTTTGTACTTTTATTATTTTATTTTAATATGGCTCAGGAAGAGATGGTACATCATCTTAAACTTACAGTTTGCTATTGTTTCTCTTTTTTATTTCTTGATGAGAATATGATTTCCACTAAAGAGTGAGTTACTTTTTCAATCACTCCCTCAGAATTGATCCGCCGCAACCATCATCATCTAATTGGTACTCTAAGGAATGTGAGATCCACTGAAATTTGAATATACGAGAGGAAGTGGAAGAAGATTTGTACTGAAAATTTAAAGAGAATTTTAACTAAGACTTTGAAAAGTCTTATGTTGGAATTGGTTTTATTCATTCCACATTTGTGAGTGGCTATAATGGGTCAAGTACTAGACTACATTTTGGCAAGGTAGGAACATAAAGATGAATAAAGTATCGCTTGCACCCTTGAGTATAACATAATCTGGTGAATAAATTGAGTGTATGTTGCATTTTGCAGTTTATAAATTAAATTTAATTATGGTGGACACTTACTGATTTACCATTCACAGTTTTAACTTCTCCTTAGGGATCCAGAGATCCATGACGTGTAGTTTATTTATTTAGGTACAAATTTGAGTCATATGCATGGAGAGGTTGTGTGGATGGTGTAGTTGTTTGAGTGATGAGAGAGCCAAGCTGACACTTGTGGATCTCTAAGGTTTCCCTGTGCATATTGTGTATGAATTAGTAACCAGCTGCATTAACCATTTGACATCAGTGGGTTACAAGCACAAAATAGGTTTATTTTTCTTCTATCATTGATTTTAACCATGCTCTTTCATATCTCCCTGCCTGTTGCATAGTTTCCAGATACATCATTAAAATCTTAGGGTAGCTAAATTTAAATTTTATTTCTTCCAATCCTCTCCAGCTGGTTTGCAAGTTTGACCTTGCAAAGAAACTTGGAATGGGAGAAGGGGCCTGGTCTACTCTTTCACTTCATTTTTCTCTTTCTTGTTCTAGCTCTTTTGCTGTGCAGTGAGGGATGGTAGGATAAGGAAGGAGATGAGTGTCTGTTATGTTGATGACCACTCCCCGACACACTCCCACATGGTTGTTATTACAACTGAGACATAACTGATTGATCATCAATACTCTCTTTATAGCAAGCATCCAAATAATGGCTCATTCACGGGAACAGGGTGGCTGTACAGTTGTCTGATGTGAAATATCAGCTCTGTTTTGCTGTCCCCCCAAATGCCTTTAGTTCTTCCATTCCTGGTGTTTCGTATCCACATTCTTTTACTGTCAAGCAAGGTACCACCACGAGGGCTCAAATCCATTTACTTGACTTCCACATC